AGTGTGATTATGAAATGCTTTGAAAAGTGTATTGTGTCAATGTTAAAAGCAGAGGTTGCTAACAACCTAGATCCGTTACAGTTTACCTACAGACAGGGGGAACTGAGGATGCTATTATTAGCATTATGCACTTAATTCTGAAGCATTTAGAGAATAACAAAGCCTATGCTCGTTTGCTTTTTATCGATTTTAGTTCGGCTTTTAACACCATTCAAACGCCCTTGTTAATTTCAAAGATGGAGCAGCTGAGTGTAAACCCAGCTATCATAAAGTGGTACTCATCTTTCTTAACAGATAGAACTCAGTGTGTTAAAGTAAACAATTGTCTTTCAGAACAAAGAAAGATTAGCACAGGTGTTCCACAAGGCTGTGTCAGTTCTCCAATTCTTTTTACTTTATTTACAAATGAATGTTCAAGGAAGCATTCAAAAAACTATATTTTTACATATTCAGACGACACAGCCATCTTACTGTAAGTCTTCTTGATGTAGACGATTATATTGGAAATGTATACCTGCCAGAAATAAGTCAGTTTGTTGAGTGGTGTGATAAAAATGATCTAAAAATAAACATAAAGAAAACAGAGGAGATCATATTCGATCCAAAAGGTATTGGGGACCATCATCAAGTGGTCATACATAACCAAAACATCACCCAAACGCAGACTTACAAGTATTTGGGTGTTTATATAGACAGCTCACTGACTTGGAAAACCCACACGGAATGGGTTTGCACCCGGCTGCACCAGAGACTATATTTTTTACGTAGATTACATTTTTATGGGGTGAATAAGAAAATCATGATGCTGTTCTACAAAGCTGTTTTAGAGAGTATTGTTAAGTATGGTGTTACAGTATGGTTTGGGAACCTATCTATACAGCTAAAATCCAAACTGGCACATCTGGTGCTGACAGCACTTAAAATAGTTGGACATGAGGAATCTTTGAATCTCCAACAGTTATTTGAGAATAGCACGTTAAAACAGGTGCAGAAAATCGTGGAGGACCAAACTCACTTTTTGCACTATCAGTATGAACTGCTCCCCTCCGGCAGAAGATATAGAGTACCACTGTGCAAACTGAACCGGTATAAAAATAATTTTGTTCCTATGTCTGTACGTATGTTGAATAACAGTCTATCTTATTATTTTTAAATTTTTAAAAATTAACTGTCTTTTCTCTTTTTTATACTTTTTTATACTTGTATATTTCTATGCACATGCAGCAACCATTTTAGTCCAAAGCAAATTTCCTCTCGAGGATAAGAAAGTATACTACTACTCAGTGCTCGAATTGAGTCAAGTCTTATGGGGGGTCCCCAATTTTTTTTATTTTTTTTTCCTGGTGGGCGGGGGGGAGGGGGGTAGCTATGTAGGTTTAGTCTTGCATATAAATATATATCTTGCATATACATACTGTATAAGGCTCTTGACGACCCGTTAAAGCAAGTAACTTCAAAATACACTGTCTCAAAAACAGTAGAAAATAATCAGATGGCTTCCAGACTTACTGGATGGTATCACTGTCTGATTCAACAGTGGCACAGAAATAATTATTTCATCCGAAATGTCTCCGAAAGCAGTGATAAAAAAGCAGCCAGTGAATAACTTCAAAAGGATATCTATCTTCACAACTTTTTTATTACTTAAACATTAGCAAAAGAATGGAAAAATACTATCAGGCTGTAATGATGTAGATGGTGTGAACTAGGTGTGGGAACTTTACTCAAAGAGTACAGGACAACTGGGCAAACAGGATACAGTCTTTGAAATAGTTTATAAGTTTAACATAGGCATGTCTAGGAGATTCTCAAATGTCAACTCAAGATTCATCCATAACAATCATCATAATAATTTCAGGAACCAGTGGATGAAGACATAAACCAAAACTCAGGACCGGTAAGTATTTACTGGTAAGCATTTCTTCAGAAGCAGGGATAACAAAAATCTCAAATGAGAAATTACCTCTTCAACAGAAAGTATTAATAAACTCAGTTTCTTTTCCCACAACAGAAATGGAGAACTTAACATAACTATATATAATGTGTTACAGAAAACACGTATCAAGTCATATCTGAGACACAAATAGCATCCAGTAAAACACAAGACGAAGAGTCCCCCTTACAAAAAATTACTGCAGTTTTGTAGAAGTAATACTGCAGTTTTTTTACATGTAAAAAAATGCAGTTTTTTGGACACGAAAAAACTGCAATATTGCAGTATGCTGTAATACTACAGTAGATGGCTGAAGTTTTACTGGGGTACAACTGCAGTATTACTGGTCCAATAAATCTAAAGTACTAGTGAAATAATACTGCAATACAACTGCAGTTTTACTGCAATACAGCTGAAGTATTACTGCAATACAACTGCAGTATTACTGCAATACAACTGAAGTATTACTTTAATACAACTGCAGTATTACTGCAATACAACTGAAGTATTACTTTAATACAACTGAAGTATTACTGCAATATAACTGAAGTATTACTGCAATATAACTGAAGTATCACTGCAATACAACTGAAGTATTACTGCAATATAACTGAAGTATTACATAAATACAACTGCAGTATTACTGTAATACAACTGAAGTATTACTGCAATATAACTGAAGTATTACTGCAATATAACTGAAGTATTACATAAATACAACTGCAGTATTACTGTAATACAACTGAAGTATTACTGCAATATAACTGAAGTATTACTGCAATATAACTGAAGTATTACTGCAATATAACTGAAGTATCACTGCAATACAACTGAAGTATTACTGCAATATAACTGAAGTATTACATAAATACAACTGCAGTATTACTGTAATACAACTGAAGTATTACTGCAATATAACTGAAGTATTACTGCAATATAACTGAAGTATTACTGCAATATAACTGAAGTATTACTGCAATATAACTGAAGTATTACTTAAATACAACTGCAGTATTACTGTAATACAACTGAAGTATTACTGCAATATAACTGAAGTATTACTGCAATATAACTGAAGTATTACTGCAATATAACTGAAGTATTACTGCAATATAACTGAAGTATTACTGCAATATAACTTGAAGTATTACTGCAATATAACTGAAGTATTACTGCAATATAACTTGAAGTATTACTGCAATACAACTGAAGTATTACTTTAATACAACTGAAGTATTACTGCAATATAACTGAAGTATTACTGCAATACAACTGAAGTATTACTGCAATATAACTGAAGTATTACTGCAATATAACTGAAGTATCACTGCAATACAACTGAAGTATTACTGCAATATAACTGAAGTATTACATAAATACAACTGCAGTATTACTGTAATACAACTGAAGTATTACTGCAATATAACTGAAGTATTACTGCAATATAACTGAAGTATTACATAAATACAACTGCAGTATTACTGTAATACAACTGAAGTATTACTGCAATATAACTGAAGTATTACTGCAATATAACTGAAGTATTACTGCAATATAACTGAAGTATCACTGCAATACAACTGAAGTATTACTGCAATATAACTGAAGTATTACATAAATACAACTGCAGTATTACTGTAATACAACTGAAGTATTACTGCAATATAACTGAAGTATTACTGCAATATAACTGAAGTATTACTGCAATATAACTGAAGTATTACTGCAATATAACTGAAGTATTACTTAAATACAACTGCAGTATTACTGTAATACAACTGAAGTATTACTGCAATATAACTGAAGTATTACTGCAATATAACTGAAGTATTACTGCAATATAACTGAAGTATTACTGCAATATAACTTGAAGTATTACTGCAATATAACTGAAGTATTACTGCAATATAACTGAAGTATTACTTAAATACAACTGCAGTATTGCTGTAATACAACTGAAGTATTACTGCAATACAACTGAAGTATTACTGCAATACAACTGAAGTATTACTGCAATATAACTGAAGTATTACTGCAATACAACTGCAGTATTACTTAAATACAACTGCAGTATTACTGCAATACAACTGAAGTATTACTGCAATATAACTGAAGTATTACTGCAATATAACTGAAGTATTACATAAATACAACTGCAGTATTACTGTAATACAACTGCAGTATTACTTAAATACAACTGCAGTATTACTGCAATACAACTGAAGTATTACTGCAATACAACTGAAGTATTACTGCAATATAACTGAAGTATTACTGCAATACAACTGAAGTATTACTTAAATACAACTGCAGTATTACTGCAATATAACTGAAGTATTACTGCAATACAACTGCAGTATTACTGCAATACAACTGAAGTATTACTGCAATATAACTGAAGTATTACTGCAATATAACTGAAGTATTACATAAATACAACTGCAGTATTACTGTAATACAACTGAAGTATTACTGCAATATAACTGAAGTATTACTGCAATATAACTGAAGTATTACTGCAATATAACTGAAGTATTACTGCAATAAAACTGAAGTATTACTGCAATATAACTGAAGTATTACTGCAATATAACTGAAGTATTACTGCAATATAACTTGAAGTATTACTGCAATATAACTGAAGTATTACTGCAATATAACTGAAGTATTACTTAAATACAACTGCAGTATTGCTGTAATACAACTGAAGTATTACTGCAATACAACTGAAGTATTACTGCAATATAACTGAAGTATTACTTAAATACAACTGCAGTATTACTGTAATACAACTTGAAGTATTACTGCAATATAACTGAAGTATTACTGCAATACAACTGCAGTATTACTTAAATACAACTGCAGTATTACTGCAATACAACTGAAGTATTACTGCAATATAACTGAAGTATTACTGCAATATAACTGAAGTATTACTGCAATACAACTGAAGTATTACTTAAATACAACTGCAGTATTACTGCAATACAACTGAAATACAACTGCAGTAGTACTATAATACAAAATACAACGACAGTAAAATGAAATGCTACAAATAAAATGCTGTACAAGTACAATATTTATTTTCACACATATGAATTAGTACAGAAGAAGAATAGTGAAACTGCAATGTAACAATTGCAACCAATTTTGGCATTATTCAGGCAGGTTTCGTTTTTTGAATAGCTTGTCCTCGTTGTTAAGCTTGGTTCGGATGACTGCCTTGATATTAGATGTAGACACATTGAATTTCTTTTGGATGTAGTCTGAAAAAGAAAAGAAAAAAAGATTCAGAGAAACTCTCAAGTTTCAGTTACACTCTTCAACACAGGCATTAAACTGAATCTTGAATGCTGGTGTCACCAAGTGTTTGGGGAAAGTATTCATACTGTTCCTAATTATTCTTTAATGGCATATTGGTCAACATTAATGCCAGGCTATGAACATTTCAAGTAAAAGAAGTTAAGGTAACACTTAACTTCTTAAAGCCTTTAAGTATAACATTAAAATACCATTCAAAATGATGGCAAGATTTTAAAGGAGTGTGTCACGTCAAATAATGAAGGATCCAGAAGCAGATAGACAGGAATAACAGTCTTTAATTAATGATAGAAACAAAGGCAGTCTGTCGTTAATGAACACAGATCTGGAGACAAACAGAAGCGGGAATAATCTCCTGTCACGAAGCGCTGAACAGAACCTCCTAGGCGCAGTCTCTAGGAACAGGAGACGTCTCAGTCACGAAGAGTGGACGAAGAGAGCCCCAAGCAGCAGCAACAGCAAGGCACGGAAAATACTCTTAGTAGCCAGACTGATACGGACAAACAAGACAAGACTGTTAGCACTTGACTAAATCAGAGAGGACGGACGTACCGTGACATGAAACAATGATCCAATGAGCCACAAAATGCCGAATATCGCGCTCGCGAGATTGCCACCAGAATCTCTGACGTATCACAGATAACGTGCCTCTTACACCAGGGTGCGCGACTAACTTAGAAGAGTGCCCCCAGCGAAGAACCGTCAAACGAGCAGCCTCGGGTACGTACAATGTTCCCTCGGGGAATCGGAGAACGCGCGTGATGTGCGAAAGTGCACACTTAACCGCCTGTTCCACTCCCCAGACGGCCACCCCGACCACACAGCGCGGAGGTAGAACCCTCTCATCGGTCGAGGCACCCTCTGAAGAGTCGAACTGACGAGAAAGGGCATCTGGTTTGAGGTTCTTGGAGCCGGGTCTAAACGAAATGGAAAAATCAAAGCGATCAAAAAATAACGCCCAACGAGCCTGACGAGCGTTAAGACGTTTCGCAGAACGAATGTATTCCAGATTGCGATGATCCGTCCATACAATGAATGGTACACTGGCTCCCTCAAGCCAGTGTCGCCACTCACCAAGTGCCAAACGAATCGCAAGGAGTTCACGGTTACCAACGTCATAGTTGCGCTCCGCGGGTGACAGACGGTGGAAGTAAAACGCGCACGGATGAACCTTGTCATCCTGGGAAGAGCGCTGCGACAAGACAGCTCCCACCCCAATTTCGGAGGCATCGACCTCAACAATAAACTGACGCTTAGGATCAGGAGTGATCAGGATGGGCGCTGAAGTAAAAAGTCTCTTGAAGCGGTCAAAAGCATCCTGAGCATTCCCTGACCACACGAACCTGGTCTTGGACGAGGTGAGAGCGGTGAGAGGGGCGGCAACCTGGCTAAAGTTACGAATAAAGCGCCGGTAAAAATTTGCAAACCCCAAAAACCGTTGGAGCGCGACTCGAGAATCAGGGACAGCCCAATCGAGAACTGCTCGAACCTTGTCAGGGTCCATACTGATCCCCTCCGCAGAAACAACCGAGCCGAGAAAAGTAACAGATTGGGCGTGAAAGACTCATTTCTCAGCCTTATCGAAAAGGCGATTCTCCAACAAGCGCTGCAAGACCCGACGAACGTGTTGAACGTGTATTTGGAGGGACGGTGAGAAAATTAAGATGTCATCCAAGTAAACGAAAACAAACACATTGAGCATATCTCTCAAGACATCGTTTACTAAAGCTTGAAATACGGCGGGAGCGTTGACCAGACCAAAAGGTAAAACGCAATATTCAAAGTGCCCGACAGGAGTGTTGAACGCGGTCTTCCATTCGTCTCCCTCCTTGATACGCACTAGATGGTAGGCGTTGCGCAAATCTAACTTAGTAAATATCTTTGCACCCTGTAGGATCTCAAAAGCAGACGACATAAGAGGCAAGGGATAGCGATTCTTGACTGTTATGTCGTTCAGCCCTCGATAGTCGATACATGGGCGCAAAGACCCATCCTTCTTCTTTACAAAGAAAAATCCCGCACCGGCGGGAGACGAAGAAGGAACAATGATCCCCGCGTCGAGAGACTCTGTGAGATACTTCTCCAGAGCCTCTCGTTCGGGCACCGAGAGGGAGTACAGTCTACCGCGAGGAGGCGTGGTGTTAGGAAGGAGTTCGATAGAGCAGTCATACGGACGGTGAGGCGGTAAGGAGACCGCCCGGGACCGGATGAAAAAGGCCCGCAGATCATGGTACTCCTCCTGGACACCAGACAAATCGTCAGGCTCCTCCTGAAACACAGAGACAGAAGACAAGGGAGAAACAGCAGACACAAGACAATTTACATGACAAGATAATTTCCATGAATGAATCGACCCCTTAACCCAGTCAATCTGTGGATTGTGCTGAATAAGCCAGGGATGACCTAAAACAATGGGGGTAAAGGGAGACTGAAAAACAAAAAAAGAAATAGTCTCTTGGTGATTGCCGGAAACAGTGAGACTAACCAGACTGGTGACGCGACGAACAGAAGAGAGCTCTCTGCCATCCAGGGAAAAGACAGAGGCAGCCTCAGTCAAGTAGATCAAGGGAATCTTGTGTTCACGAGCCCACTTCTCATCGATAAAATTCCCCTCAGCACCCGAGTCGATGAGGGCAAGGGCACTAGCTGAGAGACCAGCCAGACGGAGCACAGCTGAGATTGTGGTACGTGACCTGGGCGACGAGGAGATGACAGACGCGCTCACCAGTACTCCTCTGTCTACTGGCGAGCTCTGGCTTTTAAACTGCAGGATGAAACAAAGTGACCAGCCGTACCACAGTAAAGACAGAGGCGGTTAACTATGCGCCGCTGACGCTCCTCTGAAGAAATGCGCACACCCCCAACCTGCATGGGCTCAGCATCAGGCTGGGTCAGTACGGAGGCAGTAACAGAAGGACAGGTGTCGCTAGTCGTGGTGAAGGGAGAACGAACACGTCGCCTCTGCTCGAAACACTTGTCCAGGCGAATGGCCAGGTCGATAAGCTGATCGAGCTGAGAAGGTGCCCCCCGTGCGTAAATCTCCTCCTTAAGGTCTAAATTCAATCCCTCCAGAAAGCGTGCGATCTGTGCAGGTTCATTCCACTCACTCATAGTCGCTAGTGTCCGGAACTCTATAGCAAAGTCACCTATCGAAGACTTTAATCATCTCATCCTTAAAAGACTGATACTTGCGACAGCATGCAGATAGCTCCCTGGATCTCAACTGCCGTCCGGACGGGCATCTCGTCTGCTGGATCCTCGTCTGGTCGGATCATTCTGTCACGTCAAATAAAAAAGGATCCAGAAGCAGATAGACAGGAATAACAGTCTTTAATTAATGATAGAAACAAAGGCAGTCTGTCGTTAATGCACACAGATCTGGAGACAAACAGAAGCGGGAATAATCTCCTGTCACGAAGCGCTGAACAGAACCTCCTAGGCGCAGTCTCTAGGAACAGGAGACGTCTCAGTCACGAAGAGTGGACGAAGAGAGCCCCAAGCAGCAGCAACAGCAAGGCACGGAAAATACTCTTAGTAGCCAGACTGATACGGACAAACAAGACAAGGCTGTTAGCACTTGACTAAATCAGAGAGGACGGACGTACCGTGACATGAAACAATGATCCGACAAAGAGACTACTGAAACAAACGCCAGATAAAGGGTGAACACTTAGGGAAAAGTAGAAACAGGTGTAAAAGCAAATCAGCGCGAGCGGGTATGAGCCTGAATGAGTGTGTGTGTGTGTGTGTGAGTGTGTATATAAGTGTGTGTGTGAGAGAATAAATAGAAAAAAACCCTACTCATAACAGAGTGTCTTGCAACACAATCTTAAAATAAAGTCTTCACAAAAATAGTTTTATAAACTGATAAACCTCACATATTTCAGCCTTCAAATAATCTTTTATAAAAAGATTAAGTCAAAAAAGATAAATTACTGACATTCACGTGCATCTCCCCTTATCTTTTAATAGTAAAATTCGGGCCGATTTTCCTGTTGCATCTGTCGTTGCTATGCAACCATGTACTGCGCTCTCCACAACGACGAAGAAGTTTTAGTAGCTAACGGATTTTCACCACTGAGAAACGCTTGCTGTAAGTCTCCTACAAAATTTATTCACGGAGAAGAGAAAAACACCAGTGTTTGGGTGCACCGCGATCCTTCATGTTGACTGAGCTTTCAGTGTTGTTACGGAAGGGGCTGATTGGTTGGTTCTTCATGACCGGCAGTTCGTTTGCGGCATTGTGAATCTGAAATGGTGAGATTTTTTCAATCTCGCTGCGGATGCCACGCGCCTATAATTGAATGAACTTGAGCGCGCAAACCCAGTGTGTGAATGGCTTCTTGGCGAGCTGCCTCGTATCAAGCCACGAGCTAATGCTAGCATGCGAGCGACGTGTTTGAACCATAGACTGTAAAAAAGATGGATGACGCCCCTTCGCTCTTTTCTATCAGAGAGAACCGAGGCCGCCAGTGTCTCGATATGACGCTGACATCTTGGGACCTGAGTCTGCACTTGCGTGTTTCGGGACCAGTCATGCGCAGTCGTGAGCAGGAAGTAAAGCCGCTAAATCAAGGCCGCGCCCTCCTTCGCGCTGAATCAAACGCAAGCACACGCCCCGCACTTTCATTAAGTGTCCCCTGTCTGCTTCGTTCTTCTCCAATAATGTCTGCTGATTGCAAAACCTCGTTAAAATAAGGTAAATACAACTACTAACCACATAATCAACATTATTAAAAAAAGTCCGCTGGTGGTTTCAGTGACTACCTCGCACAGAGAACCTGTCAATCATAGCTGTCAATCATGATGTCAGAGCACCGTTTTTTATCATCAAATAACTAACTAAAAACAAACTTATTTTAAAAACGAACACTTGAAATTACATCAACGTGATAGAAACTACAGTAAATGACAGAAACTATCTTTGGAAAAAGGATATGTGGAGTGTAATTTAATTGTTTAGTTGGTCTCGCGTCCCATTGAATAACATGGGGAGGCGGGGGTTATGAGCTATACTAGGACCGGTCACAGGGGGGCGATTGAGACGTTTTGGCTTCACTTTTGAGGGCTTGTGCGGCACGCTTGGTTTGAACCGGTTTGAACCCCTGCTCTAGAGCTCCGCTTTGTAGGCTACGACTCAATACTTTTTTGCTAATTTGTAATAACTTTCTGTGGCCAGAGTTTTGGCAAATGAACGAGGGTAAAATCTTTTTTAGACCTGACTAAATCAAATTTAAGACCTTAGTTTTTAAGGCCTTAAATTCAAAGTTGAGAATTTTAGACTTTTTAAGACCCCGCGCATTGACAGTGCACATTATAATGCATTACATATTTTCATAAATAATTGTGACTAAAGATAAATGCTGTAACGACTCAGGGGCGGGTCTGATCAAGGGGAATTTACATGCATTATAATATTTGCAGATTCATTGTTACATCTGAAATTGGTAGTTTGTCATGTGTTTTAATGCATTTCACATTATAAAGACATAGCATAAGTATTTTAATTATTATAACTGTGGTTAAACGGAAACACTTTCTATGAAGACAATTCTTTCAACAATTCTTAAAAGGGTGTAAAAACATTGAATTAAAGTGTTTTTATTTTAAATCTTGATTTAATCCCTGCCTTATTCTAAAAGCTATTAATATACCAATTAGTAATTATATACTTGGACTGAAATAAAAAACATTTTTGAAAAATAATAAAGCAACTGATAAAAATCCAAAATATCTAAGCTGTGTCTGAAATCGCTCCCTATCCACTAAATAGTGCACTATATCGGGTGTCGGCCATTTTGTAGTGGTGTCCGAATTCTGAGTGAACGACATCATTCCCTACATTCATTCACTACTTTTACCCACAATCCTCTCTGAATTTGAGTGTACATTCGATGTACACTCGCTGAAGCCCTATTTCCCACAATCCAATGCGGAGAGAACTGAGCGCGCATGAAAGTTCGGCGCGAGCAAGTTTAAACCAGAGATTACATTACATCGAGTGGAGGATTTGAAAAATATCCGTTAATCGTCGTTTTGAACATAATAACGGTCGCCGGAGGGCGCTCGACGACACGTCATCTGTGAACGTGAGAGTTAATGTACAATTTCAGTCGATGAAACTACAAAGCTGGCACGGAGGTATAATTACAAAATAAAGTCATCATGATTGTTATTGTTGTTAATATTATTTTATAAACTAGGTAATGTAAGATAAAAGGAGTTTTATCAGTACGCGTGACGAAGCCTTTTCTGCGACAGCTCCAACTCTCCGACGCACAGTGTAAACGTCAGCGTCCGAATTCACTCACTTCATCTCCTTCACTCCTTGCAGATATAGTGCACTCAAATGCCATACACTATATAGGGATTAGTGAATGAGTGAACGAGTGAGCGGTTTCAGACACAGCTCTAGTCTTTAGAAATACATGACAAGTTAAGTTACCGATTAAGATGGACACTTTGTGAGCTGGAAGTGCCTCCTTGCTGGTCTCTGCATTGGATGCCTTTCTTCCATTTAAAGAGTGGGTGGCAAGAGTTTCTCGCCCAAAGATTACAAGGAGAAGCTCGTTTGTAAATTTTTTAAAATCTTGGGGATTGATCTTGTCAAACTGGCATTTCTTGATCCGCACTCCTTCACCCAAATTGATGTAATCGTCTTCCTAGCAGGGAGAACAGATTTTTTAATTTTATTTTCTAAAACAGTAATTTTAATGAAAGTTGACCACCACAGTGACAGATTGTAGGCTGGTACAATCTAAAACAAAATGGCTCAGAAATGCCATTTAGAATAAATTTTCAAGCTACAGAACCAACCATAATTTGGACAATGATTCTTTTTTTTTTTTTTCTTTTTTTTTTACATCACTTCTGTTTCACTTTGAAATGATACTATTTCCTGATACTACTGTGAATAGTGACTCTTAGTGTTTTAATTATGTTTCCATATTTCAGAAGCTTGGTGTGTAGGGTCTAAACAGCAAAACAATTACAAATACTTATGGTTTGCCCTGTACATAGAGTTAAAAACAACAACAGCAACCACAAGTTGTTTTATGCAAAAGAGGTAGATTTTAACACACCTTTTCTCCAGAATTGAAAATTCTGATAGAAAATACAATACAATACAAAAACTGCATAATTGGGATTCACTTACCTGCCCACTTCCTTGAGCAGAGCATGGTTCTTGAATTTGAGAACCGATGTTCTAAAAAGATGAGGTCTGCGGAGTGTCAGGCTTCTGCTTTGACATCATTTTAAATTCGGCCACTGTGTCTTTTAGTTCCTGCACAACATCATGCATTTCTGGAAAACAGCAGAGCAACACAATCATGTTTAAATACTGTACAGTGCCCTCCACATCTATAGGCAACATTTATTCCCTTGGTCTTTCATTAAAAATTCTAACCTTAAATCAAAATAAAATAATTGGGGAAAATATGAATATGAATTGATAAATATTAGTGAGTCGCCAGTCACAGTCGCTCTCGCGCTGGTATCGTTGTCAGTTGACAAGAACATCACAGTTAGGTCACCAGGGCTGGGCGATATATCGATATATTTCAAATTTGCGCTATGATCCATGCTCCAAGCAAGCTGCTGACTGCAGCTATCGTGCATTCTGTCAGTTGCAGTCCTCCTGACACCTCCGTCTCAACAGCATTAGTGTACAACGCGACAAATACTCGCAGAGGAACGGCTACATCAGTTCAGCGAGTTCACAAAAGTTAATTTGCATCTGCTTTAAAGTCTTGCCGGTTAAACATGTCATTCACTGCTAATGCGCTGTTCTGAGCGCGAACACCCGACGTGCACATGCGCTAAAAGCTTGTAACAGCGCCTGGTTGCTGGACTAAGTTATCTTTCGAGTAGTATTATTTCGCTAATACTCTCAAATATAGGCTACACAAGGTTTACATAAGAACATTTGGTTATGTCCAGGGGTTAAAGTGGTCAATTACAATTTACTGTAAATGATGACAATTACAATTTTTGGGAGAACTATTAATGTTAATTAAACAACAAAACACAGAGGAAATCACTCACTGCTCTTGAGAACTTTAATAGTAGCTTTAATAAGAATCAATGTGTCATTTATACAGTGAAGACTATATTTGATTTTGATTGAACAATTGAAGAGTTCAGATGCAAAAGCCTCTAAATGCCATTTGAAATTTTCTTCTAGAATGATAATTTTTATCAAGCTTGTATATTTAAGTTCAGTGATTTCACTTAAATGGCAATGATAATTACCTATTAATTGTTATATAAGTGAAATTACTGAACTTATATATACAAGTTTGAAAAAAAAATCATCATTAAAGAAGAAAATTTCATTTCAATTGGCTCGGTATATTTTCCTGCTTTTTTGTCCTTAGCCAATCACATGCCTGGTTTGTGTGTGTGTTCTACAATAAAAGCAGCACATCATGTTAGAACAGTGATTAAACTGACTTGTAACTACCTGCACATTCATTGTTTTAATGCACACCTTCCAGCCAATCAGAATTGAGAAGTCCAACAGAACATGGTATAATATATAGACAAAGAAGAGAGTTCACAAGTAGATAATTGAGAATATTTGCTACGGTATAGCTAGATTTCATTACCTTTCGACTCCCTCAGCTCTCTCTCTGCTTTTATCCTGAAGCGCCGCTCATATTTTAAATCTTCCTTTAGCTCTTTAATTTCATTTTTTAACTCTTCTATCTTTTCAGCCATGTCTGAACTCTTACATGGTTGAGGAGACAAAGGACTTGGTCCACTTGATTCCTCCAGCACTCCCACAGAGGTTCTTGGTTCCTGAAGTACAATATCAGTTATGTATTTTAGCTGTAACGATAATCTGCTTGTTTACATCAGGTGTCTTCAATAATGCTCAATCATCACTCAATTATTCACTTAATAATCTCATTAACTTTAGCTCGTTAACTTTAGCTCATTAACTCGTCCTGCTTTAGTGTTCATTTAACACTCAGCTCAGAGTTTAATTGGGCCGTTTAAAAAATTACTTAACTCCATTATGTTACAAGAACAAATTGTTTGTTTAACGTAACCCAGTTATGTGCATCCTGACCTGTTGACATAAAAAGTTAATTAAAGCCAACATATCAGAACCTGTTGACATAAAAAGGTTAAAGCCAACATATTGTTTGAGTGTGTTGAAGTTACATGAACAATTTATTTTGTTTAACGTAGCCCAGTTATGTGCAACCTGTTAACCTAAAAAAGTTCATTAAAGCCAACATCCTGCTCACCGGTATTTGAGTGCAGCTTTGTTTCACTGCAGCCATTATCTTCTGTTGAATGATATTTTTGGTCTTCTTTTTTTTGTTTGTTACCGGTGCATTTTCCTGAAAATAGCAATCACAATAAAAAAGTATTCCAGAGAAATGTCCTTTTCTGCACATTAATGTCAATTAAACTATTTAACATAAATGCTTGTGTACAGTGCTATGGAAATAAAAAAAACTGATCTGAAACAATTTAGTACATGTACAGGCCTACATGTAACTGGATTACTTGATCTCATTTAAATACGATCTAAAATCAGGATGATATTAGTAACAAATTGTGAGTGAGCTTTGCATTTACCAGGTCCAGAAATGAAGTCTCGCCAACATCTGTTGGGGGCCTTTTCACTTTCTCTCTTCTGCCCTTTCCTAATGCTTCCTCTGTAGCAAAGAGCGGTATACTGTCAAAGGCACAGCCCTTTTCAATTTTTTTCCTCAAGTCAATTAGGGGCTGACGCTCTCCTAGAAACAAACAACATACACAATACATTCAGTACAGTTTTGTTTATTCCATTATTAAATGTCATAGGTTTTCACTTGTATTTTAATTGATGAGCTTCAATGACAGCATATTACATTTGTCTATACACAAAGGGTTGTAACTGGTTGGAATGAGATTTTAATGATATCCTGCGATTAATGAGTCTGACTCTGTCTCACTTTATTTCTCACCATATTTGAAATTAGTACAATGCAAAGAATGGTTAGTTTACTTCTGGTAAAGATGGCTAAGAGTAATACCAAGAGAAGATGTTTATCAGTTAAAGGAGTGGATTTATGGAACAGTCTTCTTATTCAACTTAAGAGCTCTAAAACTATTAAGGGATTCAAGAAAAGATATAAGTTGAACATTATGGAAAAATATAGAACACTTGAATGAAGAATATAAGAAAAGTAAGCGATAGTGGAAGTATGACATAATTTTGATTGTTGAGGATTAATTTTTTAGTGTCTACATGTTATTGTAATAGTCAGGATAAGTTGTTGTTGTTGTAAAAGGGGTTAGGCAAAATAAGTCTTGACTTCAGCCTAAACCCCTTCGGTCAGTATTTATGTGTGTTATTTTTTATTTTTTTTTATTTTTTTTTATTTTTTTCTTTCTCTCTTTTGTGTTACATGATTTATGACATGATTTCTAAATGACTGACCGAAGAAATAAATAAATACAATACAATACAATACAATAATTGTATTACAAAAAAACATATAGATTACAGTGAATTGAATTGAACAAAATTGACTTCATGATCAAACGTCTCTGTGCTCGTGCAGCATCAGAATCAGCAGCTCACGTCACGCCACCTGGTTGCGCGCTACGAAGTACAAATCAGTATAGTCTGATTTGATTTGACTATACTTTCAGGGATCATTTCTATAGTTTTTAACTTGGAAGTGTTTTTCTAAAGTGTTGAGTCTCCCTAACCACGATGATGAGTGAGAGTGTGGTCCTCTGAGCGTGAATCGGATGGAAATCTGTGATTTGATTATGGATATCTATCATTGATGACCGTTCATTGATTCTTTTAGAGTCTTTGAGGAGAACTGCATGATCCATGAAAAAAAAAAAAAAAGTACAAATCAGTACAGAAGCAGCATTTTCCCCTATTTTCTTAACTGTGTTTGAATAAAATTTCAATAAATGTGTTTGTACATCTCTTTAAATTAACTAACTAAAGATATGAGGACATACAGCCTACTCACCGCTAAACTGGATGACTCGACAAGGCCAACACTGCAGCTCGGCTGACGAAGTTTTCTTCCAGAAAACATATGCTTCCTCTCGTTTGTCCCACTTCCCAGATAGCAAACTGACATTGAATCAACGTGGAAATATGACATCGAAACAACGTTGATCTGACATTGTTTTGCTCATCGAATTAACGTTGAACCAACGTCAGATGCATCATTCTTTCAAAACTAACGGAAAATCAACTTGAAATCAACGCGTTGTTTCAACGTTATGAAAGCAAACCAATTTTCGATTTCATTTAGCTTTGAAGAATGCCGCGTCTGACGTTGGTTCAACGTTAATTCGATGAGCAAATCAACGTTGTTTCAATGTCATGAGAGACGTCGTTTCCACATTGATTCAATGTCAGTTTGCTGTCTGGGTTGTGAATGACATTGGGGTGTAGTTTGGTCATATCTTTGTGTTTTAGTTTTGAGAGTTCACATATGTGAACGGTGTTGTCTGTGAAAAAATCTACCAAAACGTATTTTATTTCCATCATAAACTAACGATGACGCTGACTGACAGTTTGCTCATCAAGGATCAGCTGCTCTCGAGACTCGTTGTCAGGGCAACGATCACGTTGGCGCGAAAGAAGATCTCGCGCTCTTGATCTATGCGGGTGAAATGTCCAAAAGGCGAAAAAAATACAAATCTTTTTTAGAAGATGACTCTATTCCAAACAGAAAACATCCCAGAAGAAACAAGTACAAAATATTTCTGGAAAAGGATGAAGAAGAACCCCCCCGGAACACAAGTGTAAGGAGAAATACCAGCGAAAGTAATGTTACTTCATCTCAGGTAAAATCAATAAAATTCAAGTATCAGCCAATATAACCTGTAATTCAGTTCTGCTAATATATTCTTTTTAATTATTATTATTAATAATAATAATATAATAATACACATTTTGCAATACACAGAGTAGGAGAAACTAGCTATAAAGCTGGCGGGTCATTTGTTTTTCTTTAGACACACACAGAGGACCAAGTTGGTGCTGACTCTGAAGAAGACACACAACTGTTCTGCAGAGAAGGGGCAGCTAGGCAATTCACTGAGGTATTAAAAAAATATTTCGTTTTCTCTCGATTTTACAGATTTCTTTATTGTAATATTATTATTATTTATTTCATTTTAATTTGAGGCTATCCATGCAGTCAATCCATTGCAGCACTTTGTAATACAGTTTAGTTAACATGAACTAAGAATGCAATATACTTCTACAGCATTTATTAATATTAAAATTAATTTCAATCTATTCCATCTCAGATAGGGGTATTACTTTATTTTATTTTTACTCTTAACTGTTTTTATTTATATTGATTGTCTTTGAATTTACATTGTGTATGAAATGTGCTATATAAATAAATTTGTCTTGCCTTGCCTTCAACATTTACTTATACATTATTAAAATCAAATGTTTTATTACCATTAGCAAATGTGAACAGCAATGAACAGCTGTATTTGTATAAACCAACAGTATGCCTAACATAGATTAATAAATAAATATTGCTCATGGTTAGTTCATGTCAGTTAACACATTAATGTTAACAAATGAGACCTTATTGTAAAGTGTTAACAATCCATTTACAGTTTACTATTGTAAGAAATGTAATATTTTTCATTTAAATTTTTCTTCAGCCAGATGACATATCAGGTGGTGATATAGAAGATGAAGAGAAAAACACACAATGGTTGAACAATGAAGAGGTAACTATTACAGGGCATAGTCTAATAAATTATGTTTACTTATGCAAATGTGCTATAATGTACATATTCTGATCATTTTGGACAGTGTCTAAATTAAACATTTTTTTAAGCTTTACTTTTTATGATGAAGTCATCCTTTATCAATATGTGTTTACAGTAACACAGATAAATAAAAAGTTGAGTAAACAAAAAAAATAAATAAATAAGAAAATTAAAAAAAAAAAAAAAACACTGCAAAGCATTTGAGTTACAACTTCAGTAGTTGCGCCAAACAATTTTTGAAAGTTTTACTGGTTGTTCATCAGTAAGTTAAAGTCAAGTTAAATCAACTTTCCCCTGGATACACTTTATGGGATGTTAGCGCCAAGTTACTGTACATACAGTTTGTCTGAAATCACATATTCTCAGAGTAGGTACTATATTTAAATTTGAATTTAATTTGCAAAGTTAAAAACAATATGTTTTATAAGTGTGTATGGTGCATGTAATCCAGACATACTACATCTGTCATGTTGTCATTATCATATGACTAATCAGCAACAGTTGCACAACCCTTCACCTCCATTCACAAATACTCTCTCCCATGGCTTCATGGAATAGTAAAGTGTCTATCAAATGCACACTTCAGATTCTCGCCGGAAGTAGTAGGTCATCCTGGGACTTATGGCCTACTGTTTTTTATTTTATTTATTTTTTTATTTTATTTTTTATATGCATTCAGACTGCTGGCATACTGTTTTTCGCTCGTTACATAGTAGGGAAGTATTAGATTTCAGAAGCAGCAATAGTGCACCTTTACTAGCAACAGAGCATGTGCTAGTGTTATTAGAAATTAGCTTATCACTGCATCAGCAACTACACATTTACTGCTTTTAAATAAAACTAGAAAAAAAAGTTTGATGAAACAAACTTTAAGTTGGCTTGAGAAAGCCGGACCAGAGCGTTTGAAGAAGTTTAAAGTAGTTTGAAGTTTGATAGATGGATTAGTTAATAAAGAATAGTTTGAAAGATAGATAAATGATATATAGATAGAAAGATTAGTTTCAATGAAAGAAAGATAAGAAAGAAAGAAAGAAAGATAGATAGATAGATAGATAGATAGATAGATAGATAGATAGATAGATAGATAGATAGATAGATTGGTTAGAAAGAAAGATAGACAGATTAGTTAGAAAGAAAAAAGAGATTAGTTAGAAAGAAGGAAAGATAGATCAGTTAGAAAGAAAGATAGATTAGTTAGAAAGAAAAAAGTTCGATTAGTTAGAAAGAAAGAAAGATAGAATAGTTAGAAAATAGGTTAGAACGAACGAAAGAAAGATAGATTAGTTAGAATGAAAGAAAGAGATTAGTTTGAAAGAAAGAAAGAAATGTTATTTATTATGTTTTTATTGAAATTAAATTATGTGAATGATTTTATTTATTATTATAAAGTATGCATTAAAATACATTTTCAATGAATTGTTTTTATGTTTTAAATAAACTTGTTTAATTAACTATTATGTATTTAAATAAACATATTTTTAATTAATTGCATTTTTTTTAATAATGCATGTTTTTATATTAACTTCTTTTTAATGAACTTCATTTACTATATAATCCATTTAAATAAACTTATTTTAATGCACTAGTATGCATATGTATTATAAATTCATAAACTTTTTCCAATTAAAACTAATCGACTAGTCGACTTTATTAATTTACTTATTTTATTATTGTTGGTATTCTTTAGTGATGTATTAAACATTTATACAATGCGGAAATTGTATATAATTTCCCGCCCAAAAAAGACGACCTCAGCACGTGATTGATCATAACCAATGAGACTGCTTGAACTGCGCGTGGGAAATCATCATTATCCTGTTCTAGTCTAGTCGACGACGAACTCTCCTTTCTTCGGTCAGGTAAGTGTCTTTTAAAATTCAGAAGAATCATCAAACTAGTGGTGAATTAATTAATTGGACTAAAATAAATGTAATTTAGCCTGATTAAGACAGAGTATTACGATTTATGAGAATTACTTTCATAAACTGCTGTTCAAACTTAGAGGCCTGATGCAGCCGACTAGCCACTAACGTCATTGTTATTCTCCGAGGTAACGGTAATAAAGAGTTAATTTACGTTTTAAATGTTTATTTTTTGAGACGTACAGGAGTTAATTAACTGGAATACATTTAGGCTATGTCCGTTTTGTTATTGGGATGTGACGTTTATGGCCAAGCTATGGATATAAAGGCCGGGCTAAGTCGATATTGTGCACATACTGAACATGAAGGCTTTACGTCTTATAAACGTTAACAAAGCTTTGCTACTCCATGTTAATTAAAGCATACTTATTTAAATACATAGCCTAAATTTACACGCTCAATAGCGTTCGTTAAAGTAGAGCGTTCGCTCCCTTTAGTAACCGTTGCAATCGAGAACGCTCTCACTCACGCGACGCCACGCCACTCCATGTTCTCACTCACTGAACGATACATCGCGGAGCAGAGAGGAGACAGACAGCGCGCAGACAGACAGGACAGACCAGGTTACTTTTGATATGAAACAAACGCTCACCTTTCAAATTTGGTCTTTTTTAATTTTTTTTTATATATAATTTTCTATAAATATGGTTTTGTGGTTTTATAATGTGTCTGACAGATCGCTTAAATCCTCAGTTAAAGCCGATCATCTCTTCCTTCTAATTAATTTGTAGCATCAAATAAACATGAATGAATAGACGAATGAATGTTGTTTTAACCGCGGAAAGACGCCAGTACACTCCGATTCTCAAGTTCAAATCCTCCAAAGTTAATCTACTAACTCTCCTGACTGCTGTGTCAGACAATCAAACGCCCTGCGAATGTTCAATTACGTATGATTCATGTTTCAGCCTTTCATAATTGATAGCTACACACACACACACACACACACACACACACACACACATACTGTTTTATTTACAATACATGTAAATGTATGCTTTTGCTGTACGTCATTACACAGGTTAAAGGTAACGTTATTTTCGTTGGCTGCACATTGTCCACCCAATTATTTTCTTTCCATAATTTGTTGCAATATAATCTACTTATGATGTTCTTATTCGTAACATATTGGTGTAATCATTTCTATTGACTGTATAAAGTTCATCAGTACATTCTATTTCTCACTATTCTATAGTGATAATCTACACTTAAATGATTATATACATTATATGATCATTGGCATAGACAATTGATTGTCAGTGATAATTTCTCTTTAGATTGTATATAAATAATCTGCACATTGACTAAGATATTCAGTGATGCTTTTTTCTTCTTCCTTTTACATTTTAGAAAACGGTCATTGCCTCTGCTATGTAAGTATTCTTTTTGATTCACGCTTTCCAAATTCTCACACACCTCTGTAATATATAAGATGGGTTGTTTTTGGTGATTATTTTTTCATCTTTTTTGTTTTTCTCTTAACAGCATAAAAGAAACCCAAAGGCTCTTTTAAGAGCCATCTGCCCTTCTGCAATCACAGGTGTGTACATATGTGTTGCTGTCACTCAAGTTATTTTTTAAAACTCATGCCCTGCTCATCCACTCAGATGAGGCAAGCTTCACATTCTGCTGGTTTCATGTTTCTTTATTATTTTATTTTAATATGGATCTTTTTTTTTTTTCAAACAAACTACAACTAAATTTCCCAAAATTATTGGTTGAGTATTTCTAGAATTGAGATCATCATGAATTTATGAATATCTTCAAACAAATGTTTCCAAAGAATGTTTATTTAATTAATTTTTGTATAGTGTTTTTTTTAGAACATTGTTATGATGATCTCTTTATTAAATTGTTTTTTAATGCCTTTTTTCTTTTGTTTGCAGTGCTGGTCATCTTTGGTGACGCTCGCCATGTAAGTATTGCTGTAATGCCATTTGCACTGCATATATTTACCACTAAATGTTAATGCAATATCATTATCAACATTAATGCGTATGACGACTCATCTAAGAAAATGTTTTTAAAACAGACTAAAAAACTACATCCCACATCAAAATTTAATTGCAAAGTGATATAGTAATTCTCAAATTATCAAGAATGTTTTATTTTTTTTTTACAGACGCATTGTTCTTATACAGATCCAAGATGAAAATGGCATCGTGTTCGTCAGTATTTTGTTCCCTTAGCACATTAACAAAAAAATTAATGACACTAATAAGACTAAAAACAATACACTTTAGGCTACTAAATAATAGTAATATCACTAAAATGAAACACACCTAATAATAGTGTTTAGTACACGAACACAGCACAACTCTGCCATCTTTAAAAATCAAAAGCAGCTTCAATCACTTATTGGGCTTATTGAAGTGCGCATATGTGAAGTGTAGGACGACACATATCTTACTTAAACTCTGACTCTTGACACAATAAATTATTAAAACAAGTTTTTATTTCGTGCAGAAATACAGTCAAAATGCTGCATCTGTACTGGCATGAGAGGATAATGTGTGTCCGCAAATTTCCCTGCTGACATGTTGAAATACTCTTAAGTCAGAGACAAAAATGATTAGGATCTTTTTTTACCTCACTATACCAGGAAATAACCTGATCAAGCCATTAATAAACACTCCACCTTTGCTAGCAAAATAGTTAGGGGTGTAAGAAAAAATCGATACGATTTTCAGAAACAAAATATAGATTTTTTTTATTTTTTTATTATTATTATTTTTTTTATGCATTTTTTGCTAGAAACAACATATGGCTGAACCCTCATGTAAAGACCGGCTCCCGCTCTATTTCGTTTGGAAGTGTGGAATCATTTTGGTTTCTAGAGTAAAGAGGGCACGATATCGACAGGAACCATGCAGTTGTGAACTGTGTCTTTACAAGTTCGGCCCATGAGCAGCGGGGTATTTTTTTCGTCGTGCATGTTAATCAATGAGTGCGTTCATTCACACCGCGAGCAGTAGCTGCGCATAAAGCGTCGAGCAGGACCGTCTCGTGAGCAACAGTGAAACGGGTGTTTCGGCGGAGAGTCTATAAGGGCGTCGCACACCAGACGAGAAGCTCAGCGCCACATCTTTAAAATTCAAACACATTATTTTCTATGAGTGTTACACACACCGGCGGCGCCATTTGGCGTCTGTGACTGTACGCGGCGCCCATCAACGGCTCAGGACCATGTTCAAAATCCTGCTGCGCCACAGAGCGCCATTTACATAGTTTTATATAAAATTTCAATTATTTTTATCTCGAATTGTTGCTAATGTGTGCTGCTTGAATGACAATTGCTGATGTTATTGGATTTTTCAGTGTGCGACCCCCTAAAGTTTATGACCAACTGACCCATGAATCGTGATGCGTATCGTATCGCCAGATTCTTGCCAATACACAGCCCTAAAAATAGTTAATAATCTAATAAGCCCCGCACCCTCACGATAAGATCATGTATTGCTGATCTCAGATATGAAAATGGTGAATGAAAAATGTTGTCAGTTCTGTTTTGCTGTTTAAACTTAAGATTGTTTTCTTGTTTGCAGTGTTGGTCATCTCTGGAGAAGCTCACCATGTAAGTACTACTGTAATAATTTTGTTGGCCATTTGCACTGTATGTTCACTTAATTTGGTAGAAAGTTTTAAAATCACTGCAGCATGTTAATGAATTATTATGGGACAACATAATATATCTTTGAAGAAGAGTGTATAACAATACACAATTTTGATAAATGTGAACATGAGGACTTATTTGAGCTGTGAACAAATCTGAATTGTCTCTTTTTTTTCTTCTTTTTTATTGTCTACAGTAGATTGGAAGTTGTGTCCATCTAGGTAAGTATTGTAATGATTCAGCAGACACAAGGGGATCCATATGCAGCTTTTATAGAGTAGTCTGACAGGCATGGATCAACAACAGCAAACAGGGCAACAGAGACAAGGCAAAGACAAACCAGATACAAGAAAAGGGTCACGGCAGGCAGAGAATCAGAGTCCAGTAAACAGTCCAGGGTCAGGACAGACAGAGAAGGGTCAGCAACAGTACACAATCCACAGGTCAAACACAGGAATCAAACTCGGGAAGATAACGCTTAGAAATGATGGCCGGGGCAGATCAAGACTTGGCCCTGGTGTGGTGTGTGGAACCGTACACCTGCACTGTGTAATCAGCACAGTGCAGGTATTTGGTATAATCAGTCCAGGGAGGTGCATGATTGGAAATTAAGTCTAAAATTAAGGGAGTGTGTGGCTAATCGTGACAAGTATAATTGTTTAACAGAATGTTTTTGCAACAAAAAAAAATATCTTTATAGTGAAATTTTGGAATGTTGTTTACTAAGATTAAAAAAATAATAATAAATTCAATCTTCAGTTAAAACAAAATATAAGTTACTTATTGCTGTATTCAAAATGATTAATGCAATGGCAATATAGTTCTTATTTACATTTAATGATTCAATAATTCCTGTACTTTTATATAGGCATGTTTGTGTGTTTTAAAAAATGTAATTAACTTGTTTTTTTTCTTTGTGTGTGTCTGTCTGTGTGTGTGTTGTGTGTGTGTGTGTGTGTGTGTGTGTGTGTGTGTGTGTGTGTGTGTGTGTGTGTGTGTGTTATCTATCCTGTCCTATCAACACCTTTTATCAATTTTCACTCAAACCTTTATCCTGCTTATTTGCTTAAACCTTTGCCATTTCTTCACTTTCTCTTCCCAAACTGACAAAAAATCTGGCCTTGCATCCCAAAACGCTGCTGCTCTGCTTGCTGCTTGCTTGCTCGCAACCCAAACGCTACAAATCTGCAATCTCTTCCCCAATGCAAAACCAACCCAAACGCACCAATGCAGCTTGCTAACGCATCTTAAAAAAAGAGCCAGTTAACCCAAACTTTGAACCCAAAAACCAAACCCAAACTTTTGAACCCGAAAACCAAACCCAAACTTTTGAACCCAATAACCGATTGATTTACAGTGCCAGACAGTCTTGAAAGAGGGACCATCTCCAGTCTTCTCTGCTTATCTTCTGCCCTGCTGATCTCCAGCCTGCCCTGCTACCCCCCTGATCTGAGGACTGCGTTGGAGAAGCACACACACACACAGTCATTTGTTTGATAACCAACTGTTTAGCTTCACATTACATAGGGTTGTTTATTTTCTATAATCTTATCACATATTTAAATAAATTTAGCTTGTTTAGTTTTTGTGACTGCTTTGAACCAGTTTGTATTAATAAAGTCCATTTTCTGTTCAGTCTTGTAACGTCTATATTGTATAGTTGATTTCACAATTTTTTGGGTCTAGTTTTATAAACTGCTCTAATATTGTTTGGTGATATCAGTGGTTAGCCTTTTACAACTGTCTTTTAATGATTACCATTTAACCTAAGTTACAGTTATAGAAGTAATAACTGGTTTAGCATTGCATTAGGTAAGTTTCTGTGTTATTTATAATCAAATTTAACTGTCCATTAGACTTTTTTTGTTGTCAAATTTCCTTTATTGGTCAAATACTTTGACATAAATTGTCTAAACGAATATTAGTTTCTGCTTTATTATTTACTGTACAATATATTTGTTGTGCATAACAAGTTCCTTTTCATAGATCAATTAAATAGTGTGTATTTTATATTAACCGTTTCTTGTTTATAACCGATTAAGTAACCGACTAAGCTAATGGGCTGAATTTCCAGAAACGGTAAGAGAAAGGGAGAAATTTACTTGTACGTCTAAACTAATAGTTTCTATTTTATTATTTGCTGTACAATATATTCATTGTTGGGTATAAAAAGTACGTTTTCATAGATCAATTAAATATTGTGTATTTTATATTAACCGTTACTTGTTCGACTTAGTTGGTGTTAAACTGATATATTGTAATACAAACGTCAAGAATAAGAACTGTAATTTGTTGAGTAAGTGTCTTTATTTGGTGTTTTGCAAACCACTACCGTTTGCTTTCACTGGCTGAATCTTCAGAAACGGTAAGAGAAAGGGAGAAATTGACTTGTAGGCTACAGTTTTCATATTGAAGGAGCATTTGACAACTTTTTGATAAAATATATTAATTTTGAGTTCTATTTAATAAGTATTCAATACTCAGTAGTAAATCTTTATATTTACTAAATTTATTATCCAGTGTTAAAACATGCCAAGAAAAGGTAAGAGAAGTGAATCTCAGAAACAGCGCAGAAAGCAGGAAGCTTCGTGTGGCTCCAGTAGCGGTAACTTTGTGTCAAACAGCGTCGATGCGAACCCGAATGTTCTGTCTGTTACCGCATCCCACTGTCAAAGCGATCCCAGGTACAAGATTTACTCCAGAGGCCGTCAGTGTACTTGCAATGCCTTAATGTTCCTAGCTGTCCATAATGAGCGTAATGAGTTGCACACTTTTGATTTAGACCGCATTTTACAGAAAGGTGATGCAGTTTACACTAGTGTCAAACGAACACTGCGGAGCAAAGGACAATTTGTGCTTGATCATTTAAACTTTGATGAGCTGCCAAACACAGTTAAGACCAATTCAGCCTGCTACAACATCCTGAAACATCCCGAGAGAGTTGGTCTTCTAAAAGATACACCTGAGCTAGGCGGGTATGAAAACCTCGAGAATACTCTGCAGTGTCTCAGAGCTGATGTAAGTGACGCGTTGCTGCTGTGTGGATGCACGTGTATCGCCGTATTCAGAGATCGCTCAGGGATGTTTGGTTATTTTGATCCTCACTCCAGAACAGCAGATGGAATACCTGATGAAAATGAAACCACCGGTACAGCCGTGATGTTGACCTTCTTGCGTTTAGAAGACCTCATCGAGAGACTCATGCTATTGTTTCAATGGTGTTTCGATTTGACAGACCAGCAACTATTTAATCTGCTGCCTGTATCGTTCATTAACCAGATAACTGAAAGCAGTGTACGTCCATCCACCTCTTTGGAGAACAAAGCTCTGTCCAACAGTGAACAATGCAAGTCTGCTGATGTCTCACAACAGTGTGTCCAAGATCCAGTTCAACAACCATCTGAGACTACAGTTAATGCAGCCATATCAACTAATGATGAAGCCCACTTTACTTATCAAGATAAAATGGATGTTATAACTTCTGTCAATCAGAATAAAGACGGTAATACAATTGTGTCAGTCAATGAACTTTCTCATGGCATGCTTTCACAGGATCAATTGCCGACAGAGCAGACAGACAAACTGAACAAGACTCAGAAGCGAAAGGCTTACTGTAAAAAATGGCATAAAGAAATGGTTCAGAGGCAAGGTGTTCATGACAAAAAACAAGCTGTACGTAAAGTCTATGAATATAAAAGAAATAGTGAATGCAGGGAAAGACGTAAACAAGCCATGAAGAACAAGTATTGGAACAGTATGTCTTACAGGGAAGAACACAGACAAGCAATGAAAAACAAATATAGAAATATTAATGAATACAGAGATAGAAGAAAGGCTTATGCAATTAGTAAGTACAGAAATAATGAAAAATATAAAGAGAAACAAAAGAGCTATGCAACCAACCAGTACAGAAATAATGAAAAATACAGAGAGGCAAAAAAGAGCTATGCAACCAACCAGTACAGAAATAATGAACAATACAGAGAGGATAAAAAGAGTAAAATTACCTTTAATTACAAAAATGATGAACAATTCAAGGAGAGACAAAAAAAGTATATCATTCAAAATTACAGGAGTAATGCTAAATATAAGGAACAGCATAAGCAATATCTTGTTGATAGATATTTAAATGATCCAATTTTTAGGCAAAGGCAAAGAGACCATTACAAAAACCAATGCAAAAATGATCCTAACTTCTATGAAAAAAGGAAGAACATTTTTAAACAACAGTATCACTGTGATGCACATTTTAGGGCTCGTCAGAAAGAATATAATTTGTTCAAATCTAAAAACAAAATATCTGCACTCAAGATACTTCACAAAGTACATTGTGCACAAGACATACAGCGCAAATACAAAAACATGTATCTGATGCGCCAACAGAGAGACTCGTTAGAAAATACCCAGCCTGACGTAGTACAAGATCCGACTGTGTTAAGAGCCTTAAATGTTTTCAGAGATGTTATAAAACAGGGGCCAACTTATGTGTGCACATGCTGTGCCAGAGCGCTCTTCTCAAATCAAGTCAAATCATGTGATCGTGAGCGCTATCAGAAGAATCCAACAGTTGCTTCAGTTTGCTTGACTGGAAACTATGTTCACGTCTGCTCAGACCTGTGTCCTGATCAGTGTGCCCTCGATCACAGGAAAACAGAGTGGATCTGTCACTGCTGCCATAATACACTAGTGAGAGGTCTGATGCCAGACATTGCTTTGGCCAATCAACTTCAGTTCGCTCCCATTCCTCCAGAACTGTGCGATTTGAATGTTCTTGAAAGACACATTATTGCAAAGTACATTCCTTTTGCTAAGATCGTTACACTACCGAAAGGCCAGCAAAGAGCTATAAAAGGTGCTGTGATTTCTGTTGCATCTGAAGTAGAAACAACAGTGAACTCTTTACCCAGACCAAGAAGTGAATCACAACTGCTAACAGTGAAACTGAAGAGACGTCTGTGTTACCAAGGTCACTATCAGTTTCAGACTTTGAACATGCAAAAGGTTTTGTCTGCTTTAAGAAAGCTAAAAGATATCCATTCAGAATATAAAGATATCTTCATTAATACAGAACTCTCTGAAGAAGAAATGTTTAATGAGCATGAACAGAGTGCAAATGACATCAGTGCTCCAGATGAGGAAATGGAAATTGAGAACACTGAAGAACAGAGCAATGAGAATGAACACGATGACGCAAACGAAGACACTACTTCAGAACAGCAATCGAGAGGCCTTGCCTTGGACACATGTCTTCAGCCCCCAGATCTCAGCCAGCAGCTGTTGTCTTATGATGATGGAGTATTTTGCATTGCCCCAGCAGAGAAAAACACTCCTGTAAACACTTTCAAAGTTCCTAAACTCGAGTCTATGGCGTTTCCAGTGCAGTTTCCCGATGGCAAGAACACCTTTGATGAGCCTGGTAGAGCAAAACATGTTTCCCCCAGCAGATACTTTAACTCTAGACTATTCTCTATCGACAATCGTTGTGCGAAGGATACCAACTATATCTTCTTTGCGCAGTTTGTGACTGAAATGCACATGGCCACATCTAGTATGTCTATCCAGATGAGGAAAGCAAAACCCATGACCCGTGATGGACGCAGAATAAACTGTTCACTGCTGCAGGACAAGCATGAGTTAGAAAAGCTTGTAATAAACAAGGAAGCTACGCGATTCATGCAACCATTAAGAGGAACTCCAGCATACTGGGAGAAATCTCTCCGTGATCTGTTTGCTATGCTGAGACAACTGGGCACTCCCACATTTTTCTGTACGTTTAGTGCTGCTGAGATGAGATGGCCTGATGTGATTACTGCTATTAAAGCACAACAAGGTGAAACTGTGAACTTCGCTGAATTAGACTGGTCCGAAAAATGTGAAATCCTCAGAAGCAACCCTGTCACAGCCATGCGGATGTTTGAAAAACGAGTTGAAGCCTTGATGAGAGATTTGATCAATTCACCTGCTCGACCCATCGGTGAGGTAATTGACTTCTTTTACAGAGTAGAGTTCCAGCTACGTGGCTCTCCACACATTCACTGCTTATTCTGGGTGAAAGATGCTCCAGAGTTTGAAAAAGATGAAGATCAGGATGTGTGTGATTTCATTGATAAATATATCTCATGCAAATTACCAGACCCAGACAAAGACCCAGAGCTACATAAAATTGTAAGTGAAGTGCAGATGCACAGTCGTAACCACTCAAAATCCTGTAGAAAGAACAAGAAGCACTGCCGGTTTGGATTTCCTAAACCACCCATTAACAGGACCATGATATCCCGACCCAGGCCTCCTCCTGCAGATCAGTCTGATGAAGAGAACGAATCAGAGGAAAGACATGATGCCAGTTTTGCAAAAGAACAGCTACAGAAGGTGTGGGATCTACTGAATGACTCAACTCAGAGCTTTGATAGCGTTACACAGCTACTTCATACAGTAAACATGACTTATGAAGAGTACGAGAAACATATTGATACTATTTCTACATCAAGTTCAATATTTATGGAGAGACGACCACAGGACTGCTGGGTAAACGGCTATAATCCAATGCTGTTAAGAGCCTGGGATGCAAACATGGACATACAGTTCATTCTCAACCCTTACAGCTGTATCATGTATATTGTCTCATACATTTCAAAAGCTGAGCATGAGATGAGCGATTACCTTAAGAAAGTGATAAAAGACTCAAGCCATGATAATCTGACTGAACGTGAGTGCATGAAGCAGGTCATGAATGCCTACTCAAAGAACAGAGAAGTCAGTGCTCAGGAGGCAGTCGCTCGCACATGCAGTCTGAAATTAAAATCATCATCACGTGCTGTCATATTCATTCCTACTGATGACAACGC